AGCTGCGGTTAGACAATTACTAGCATAAAGCACTAACTTATACCTATGATCAAGGCTCTTAATTATATCAGCTCAAGTCAGTCACTCAGTCATGTCCAGCTCTTTGCGACCCCATGGACTGTAGCACATCAGGCTTCCCTGTCCATCATCACCTCCCAGAGTGTGCTCAAACTCATGTCCATTGAACCGGTGATGCGGTCCAACCATCTCATCCTCTGCCGTCCCTTTCTCCTCCTGCCTTCAATCTTTCCCAGCATTCAGGATATTTTCCAATGAATCAGTTCTTTGCATAAGGTGGCCAGTAATTATATAAATCATCATAATTAATATAATCATAATAATCATCATAATTATATAAATCATAAATTTAAGCTAAGAATCAGCATTTAAGTGTGTGTGTGTGTGTGTGTGTGTGCATAGAAAATTAAAAGGGAGTCATGGGAATTATCTGTTAATGAGAATTCTTACCACTGTTCTCTGAGTGGGAAAAACAAAAATTAGATTGGATAGAATTTATGATGAGGCACAATAAAATGGGAGTTTTCTCTAAAAAATGAAATAACTTATTGTTATTTGGTAGTCTATTAACTCAAATGAATTATAGGATAATCTAAACACTGTTAAATGAAGGAAATTTTACTTAAATTTTTACAATAGGGAAAATATAACATGATATTCATGTTATCCTTACTACTTTAGCAATATTTACTGATTCAAATCCAGTTTCCTCACTCTTTTGGAGCTGAATAGTTAGAGCACCAATTATTTGAAGGACTATGTGCAGTTATTGAACTGTTGGACAAGAAAACAAATGTTAATAAAAACTCTTAGTATTAATGCTTACTGTTGAAAACAGCACATTCATAGAACAAAAAGGATAGACGATTCCTTGTTTTACCACATTAACACTGAAGCTCTTTTACTTAAAATAATACCCTTGAGGATAAATAATACCCTCAAGCATATAACAACTAAACGATAACGCCAAGGTTTCTTAAAGTTGAAATTATGTGCTTATCAAAGAAAGAAATAACTCCAGTTAAATACTTTTCTCCTGGTAGCAAGAGCTGTAGTGAAGATATATCACAAACAGATGGTGCAGAGGATGTGAACCGGCTGGATGATGGGAGGACAGTATTGCTATACCAGAATAAATTCCTGCTTGCGCCTGACGATGGAACTGCTCGGAGACATAGATAAGAAGCCCACAGATTGGCGTCAGAAACACAGAGATACCTGCAATGGATCTCAAAATATTAGAAAAGATTGAAGATGAATTTGAGGTGCAAGTTTTGTCTAAAGTAGGTAGTCACTCACATTCTTGCTGTGATTGTAATTTGATGGCAATCTCACGGAGCTTTGTAGAACCAAAAAACCCTGCGATGTTTAAATAAATGCACATCTACAAATTCCACCAAGCACTCCACACAAGTTTCTGCAAGCCAAGCTTACTTAACATATGGCATGTGGGCTTGCAGACCCTTTTATATGTGTAGATCTATACGCAAAAAGGAGGAGGGATATGGAATTGAAATGTGATAATTGTCTCTTGTTCTTTTGAGTGAGTCTGTGTGCAGCAAGCACTGATGCGGATTAAAGGGAGCAAAAGGCAGGAGGCCTCGTTCACTACAGTCATCTGCTTGCTGACTACAGTCGTGAAGAGTCAGATTCTCGAGTGTGTTAATCGTTTTCTTTCTGAAGTGTAAGGCTAAAGATAGGCAAATAATGTTTACTTGTGTGCAAATTTAAGTAGCACAGTATCAGTACAGTTTCAGGTGGATTTTGCTTGATTTGGCATACAACTTAATTTTTTGAATTAAAACTTTAAAGAATGGAAATTTGAGGTTTATTTCACCATGAATTCAACTGAATATAACATAAAATGGTTTACATATTTTTATTTTTAAAATATTTTGGACTTAAAGCATCAAGAAATATGGTTTCATTAAAAAAGCATAAGGCTATAACTACTTCCTTTAGTTTATCCTCCCACTGACAACTATATCTTAAATTATGTTATGATTCTATTCATCAAAGTCCCTGATTTTAAAAAACAGTACCTTAGTGGACATACAAATGTTTTATAACAACTTTGTTCATATTTGAAAATGAAAGATACTGTCAAGTTAGTATTTAGAGAGATTTGAAGAAGAAAATTTCAAGAGGCAGAGTCTGACAAAATGAATCATAAAACAATCTGTTTTTAAATAAAAGATAATTTAGAAAGCTTGAAGACTGGTAAGCAGTGCCATGCAAAAGTGTTAATTGACTACAGTAAATATTATGTGTAAGGCATGGAGCAGTTGATGGTGGGAGTGTCAGGAACCTTTTTTTTTTCAATTAGCATTTTTATTGAAGTACAGAATACATATGGAAAATGTTCAAATCATAATTACACAGTTTGGTAATTTTTTTTTAAATCGGAGAAACCCACATAACCAGCACTTGGATCAAAACCAGAATATGTCTAGTCCCCAAACATTTTCTCTTATACATTACTCAGTCATAACATCCACTCTCAGGAACAACCTGTACTCTGAATTCTGATACCATTGGCTAGTTTTGCCTGAAACATGGTCCTTTTAAACTGTCTTTGTGCTAACCATAATAGCATTCATACAGCGCTTACCGTATGCCAAGAGACTACATATATTAAGTTATGCACTCCTTAAAACAACCTTGTAAAGTAGGTGTGATTATTATTATCTAGATTTTATAGATTAAGAAGTTGAGGCTCAGGGTATTTAACACATCTTGTAGTAAAGGTAGAAAAGGACAGAGCTTGGAATACGTCGTTAAAACTTTTAGACATTACACTAGGAGAACCCACTTTGATTTTTATTGACTTACATGAATATTTTTTGATCCTATAAAGCTTTAATTCCTTTGAGAAAAATATTTCCCAATGCAAAGCACAGAGGCTAAAATATTTCTTGTCACAGTATTTGCCTTTGTATATGTACATATTGTATAAATATATATATGCATACATATGTATATATTTATAAATAAAAACTTCATTGCAGGGTTTAAGAACATGGGAGAATGCATTGTTGTAGTAAATTTTACATAAATCTTCTATTGAGAATCACTTCAAGTCGCTATTACTGATGGGAATCTATATATGCTGAGGCACAGAAGAATGGTTGACAAAGATTAACCTTATAGAGGAGAATGTAATCCCTTTTCCCGTCTCCAGGGGATCTTCCCAACCCAGGGATCAAATCCAGGTCTCCCGCTTTGAGGGCAGATTCTTTATCAGCTGAACCACCAGGGGAGCCCAAGAATTCTGGAGTGGGTAGTCTTATCCCGTCTCCAGGGGATCTTCCTGACCCAGGGATCAAACTGGGGTCTCCTGCACTGCAGGTGGATTCTTTACCAACTAATCTATCAGGGAAGCTCAATATAAATTTCATTGCAGAGTTTAAGGACATGGGAGAATGCATTGTTGGAGAAAAATTTACATAAATCTTCTACTGAGAATCATTGCAGCGCCAAGCCACTGTTACTGGTGGGAGCTATATATGTTGAGGCACAGCAGAGTGGTTGAGACAGATTAATCTTACAGAAGAGAATGGCACATTAGAACCACCTTAGTTACAACTCAGACTATGAATTCAGTGACAGGATATAACAGAAGTATAATATAGTTCAGTGAAATGAGCAGTTAGTTCTGTTGGGGTGGATGTGGGTAGATTCAGGAAGTTTTCAAAGAAACAGAAATTACTTTATGCTAGCCCTGGAAAGAGATAATAGTGTTAAAATAGAAGGAACATGAAGCAGAGTAATAGTACAATCAGGCACATAGGACCACTAATTGGGAGTGCTGTGACTAATATGTATGCTTTTTTAAAAAAAATTGAATAGGAAAATATAGAAAAGATCGACAGTAAGGGTTTGGCTTCTCAAACCATATACTGCAAACAGGTGTTGTTGTTGTTGTTGTTGTTGTTTGTTTAATTAAAAAAGGGGTCACATCTAATTTCAATGTAGCATCCTGAATCAAATCTTGGAAATGAAAAGTGACCTGAGTAAAAAAATTCAAGTAATACTGGGGTTTAGGTCATCCTAATTTACAAAATTTAATCTCTTAGTTTTGACATATACTATGGAGAAGGAAATGGCAACCCACTCTAGTACTCTTGCCTGGAAAATCCAATGGACTGAGGATCCTGGTAGGCTACAGTCCATGGGGTGGCAAAGAGTCAGACATGACTGAGCGGCTTCACTTTCACTTCACTTACGGTATTATAAGATGTTAACATTAGGAATGAAGGGTGAATGAAGGATACAAGGAACATTCTGTGTATATACTACTTATGCAAATTTTCTATAAACCTAAATTTATTTAAAACAAAAGTTTGTTAAACACTAAAAAGATAGATGTCAAGCAGAGAGTTTCTCTATCTTGTCCCTTCTTCCCGCCATTCCCGGCACACACCTGCTTGCTGAGTCGCCACTTGCAGGAGGAAAGAGCAGAGGAGCTTCTCGGTTGTCTCCTTACTGAGAGGAGGCAGCCGGGAAACTTCATGGAGCTGTTGAATCCCAATTAATTTGTTCTTTCTCACCTTCTTCATCACCCTTCCCCAAGGGGAGCACATCTTGAAAAGGGGAATGTGTCTCAATGTGTTTTAGCTCTGGTCGCTATAACAAAATATCACAGACTGGGTAACTTAAACAACAGGGATTTATTTCTCATGGTTCTGAAGACTGGAAGCTCAAGATTGAGGGGCCAGGAGGATTTCTATGCTTTGAGGGTCTCTCCTTGGGTTACAGATGTCCTCCCACAGGCCATCTGCCTTTCCTCGGTCTGCGTGGGTAGACAGAGAGCAAACTCTTTTTTTTTTTTTTTTTTTAAAAAGTGTAGAGTTAATATTTTATTGTCACTTATCAGATGGCAGTAAGGTATATAATCTTCATACTTGATCTTTCCTTTGTGTAAATAAAAAAAATTACAAGTTTAAACAGCCAATGGCTGGCCATGTCTTCATAAAACATGATTAGATTAATTCATTAATGGTGGCTTCAAGTTTTTCCTTATTAGCTCCAGAAAATTCACCCACCTTCTGTCCCTTTTTAAAAAACTGGAAGGTTGGCATGCATTTGACTTCACACTCTGCAGCAACATCCTGACAGTCATCCACATCTACTTCAAGGAACACCACGTTGGAATACTTTTCAGAGAGAGAATGAAAGAAAGGCTTGATCATTTTGCAAGGCCCACACCACGTGGCTGAGAAGTTGACTACTACGAGTTTCTCTCCTGCACTGTTCAAGGCTTCCTGAAAAGCGTACTTGCTCTCAATCTGCTTCACCATCTTGGCAGCTGGGGGTCTGACAAACGACCTGACGGCGCAAGCGATGGAAACGGATCCAAGGCGTCGGACGGAGCTTTAATATCTTTTTAAAAGGACGTTAACTTCATCATGAGGACCTCATCCCTCATTACCTCATCCTAATCATCTCCCAAACATTCCATCTCCAAATGCTATCAAATTGGAGGTTAAGGCTTCAATATACGAATTTATGAGGAACACAGTTCAGTCCATAACACTGTCAGGGGGAAGCTTACTTGGCAAATGGAGATGGATAAGCTGATGGTAAGGAGCATTCCCACATACACCAAACTTGCAAAAGAAGCAGTAGTTGACACTTAAAATATTCTTTGCTCCGATCAAGTATCCACTTTGGGAAACAAGAACGCACAGCAAATATACAGATATCTGAATAGTAAAACCAGAAGAGACAGGATTAATGAACTAGAAAAATATAATCATTTTTATATTGAGTAACTCTGTGGTTGATAAGGTAAATAAGATACAGATGAGCTGGTCTCAAGCATACACCCATGCCAGTCTATTGCAAAATTGCCTAGGCTCATGTATACCAAAAAAAAACAAAACAAAAACAAAGGAAAAGACTTAAGGGTACTGTTAGGTTTCCACAAAGACTGATGTGATGCTCTCTGTCAGATATTATCTTCAGTAACTCCCCAGTGTTGATCTGGTAAGCCAACCCACTCAAGTATTCCTGCCTGGAGAATCCCATGGACAGAGGAGCCTGGCGGCCTACAGTCCATGGAGTCACAAAGAGTTGGACGTGACTGAAGCACCTTGGCAGGCAGGCAAGCCCATATACTCTTGTGTTTCCCAGGTGGCTTAGTGATAAAGAATCTGCCTGCCAATGCAGGAAACGTAAGTCATGCAGATTCGATTTCTGGGTCAGGAAGATTCCATGGACTAGGAAATGGCAGCCTGCTCCAGTATTCTTACCTGGAAAACTCCATGGGCAGAGGAGACTGGTGGGCTACAGGCTCTGGGGCCTGGAAGAGTCGGACACAGCTGACCAGGTGCACACACAGATATTCAGTAACAGATTTCTGTGTCAAGTGTCCTAACTATATTCAATTCATTTTCAAACCCATAGATAAGCAAATGCTGTTAGTATACCCAGGCATTGCTTATTTCTAGTGCTTCTATCAATATAAACCTATCAATAACATTTGTTATTACAATGACCATCAAGATAAAATATTTAAATGAAATTGATAAGTTGGAACAAATACATAGGAGTTTACTTATAATAAATGCAAAATCACTCTATGCAGAAAAATATGGAACATTAAAAAAAATCAAACTAAACTACAAAGGAGTCCTTAATAATATGCAAATATAATCATCTTATGGCCTATCTTCTTTGAAGACAATGTAGTAAAATACTAAACTGAGAAAAAAACTAAAATTTCTTTCTGCTTAGAAACTAAAAATATATACCCTTATTTAAAAGCATAAGGCAAGCTAGCAAACATTTAAAATTAAAAAAAAAAAACATGAGAAATGACATATCAAGATAAGCATAAAGAAGAAACTAGTGAAATCAAGAACAATAGCCATGCAAGAAAAAACAAACAGCTAAGAAAATTGGAAGATAGTTTTTGAAAATGTTAATAAGATTTTGCATCTTCAGCAAAGCTGGTCAAGGAAAGAATAAAATAAAACAGAAATAAGAAGGAGAATGAATGAATGGATATTAATTCAGAGAAAAACAATTATCAAAAGCCTAAAAGATATCTTGAATAACTGCATAATGCTATGTTTGGAAATGTATATAAAATGAGTATCTGTTTGGGAAACTATGTAATTTCAATATTGATATAAGAATTAAAAAAACCAAATAGATCAGGAACAATGGATTTCCCAATTCCAGAGTATTCAAGAAATTGTAATAGAAATAGCCAATGTTTGTGTAACATTTATACATGCCAAGCATCGTTTCAAGTTCTTATATTATCACATTCCTTCCCATTAATTATAAGTGTTAGATATTACAATTGTTTCCATTTTACAGATAGGAAACTGGACACCCTAATTTGTAAGTATATTTTTCAAGGTCATAAAACCAACACTAGGCAAAACATGAATTTATGACTTCCGGTCATTTCAGAGTCATTTTCTCAAATGGTCTATAATCCTGCATCTCTAAATTGAAATACATTACTTTATTGATTCTACAATGCATTTTTTCACACTCTATTATCTTCAAAATCAGGATACATCTTTTACTGAGACACTTCCTGTTGGCCAGGCACTTTTTTTTTTTTTAAATACAGTACAGATTTAGATGCTGTTCCCAGTGTCATAAGTAGAAAAAGATTATAACTGTCAACATTTCAGTCAACAAGTCATTTGAAGAAGAAATATGAGTCCTGGCTGTTTATTGAAAACCTTTGATTGAGACTTTATAATAAACTTATAAATTGTTAGCCTCAAAATTTACAAAATGGACATTAGTGTCTTAGAAGAAATCATAGAGGTGATAGTGCTACATGAACGCTTTTGTTACTACAAAGGATAATGTTGTCTAGGAAAAATGTGTATTGATGACTCAGTCGAAGCTAAATTGTATGTATATCTAAGTAAGTTTAAAAGAATATTTTTAAAAGATCTACAGTAAAATACAAAGGGATAACCTGAAGAAGGAAATGGCAACCCACTCCAGTATTCTTGCCTGGAGAATCCCATGGACGGAGGAGCCTGGTGGGCTACGGTCCATGGAGTCACAAAGAGTTGGACACAACTGAGCGACTAAATAACAATAAATAGGAAGAAAGTCATTGTGTCATGGCTCACTTAACAGTATTTTTATTTTTAGTTGTGTGGTGCTACATAAATTAATTGTACATTTTATAATTGTTGACATCTTGGATATAATGAAATGTGGTAATATGCAAAGGCATCAATCCACATGGCAGAGACTTCAACCAAATATCTATTATAGTCCCTAGCATCCCTAGAAGTTAAATGAGCCCATATAACCACATTCAGGCTAATGTTTATAATGAAAGTGATAATGCAACTTCTAGATTGTTCCCCTAAGGGGAAGGATCACCTCTCTAACTTTCTTCTTCCAAGTTGAGGGAAGCCTCTCAAACAGTCACTTGACATGGAAGCCACATTTTAAGGTTGTGGAACCCCAGATAGAAGGAGCTAACTCTGTGTCTTATGATTAATGCAGCAAATAGGCCCTAAATCATACCCAAAGACTCCTGAGTTTTTTAATGAAGATAAAGTGAACTTGTGTTTTTTTTCCTAGAAGGTTAGATTTTATCTAAAGTTTATTTGTTAATTAGTATTGATGTGTTAAGAAATTATTATCAAAACCACAAGAAATCAGTAAATATATTTTCAATGGAGAGATATTTTCTGAGAAACAAAATTCTTCATTTTGATTACACAGAAACAGACTAAGGTTGAAATCACAACTACTGAATTGTTAAACCGATAGAGGCGTAATAGTTTTCCTTTATAGCTTCCTCCTCCCTGGGGGCTCAGCTGGTAAAGAATCCGCCTGCAGTGCAAGAGACCAGGGTTGGGAGGATCCCCTGGAGAGGGGAAAGGCTACCCACTCCCGGATTCTGGCCTGGAGAATTCCATGGACTCTATAGTCCATGGGGTCGCGAAGAGTTTGACACAACTGAACGACTTTCAATTTCACTTCACAGACTAAATTTGAAAAACAGAAAATCTGATGCCTTGTAATGCATTATTTTTGAGATATAGGAGGAAGAATCTCTTTAAAATGAAACTTTTTCCCCACTGTTGTCAATTATAGGTGTGATTTTTAAATTTGCCAAATGTGTATAGTGTGTATGTACACAAATGTACATGTGGGTGACTGGGAGAGATAGCCATATTTTTATAATAGTTTTTGAAAGTAGAACCTTTTTATCTTGCACTCCACCAAAGAAAGCATGCTGTTTTATAACATAACTTTAGGAAATGAGATATAAGATTTTACCAAAGAGGTTATCTTGACAAAATTAGTGTTGGGTCACTTCCAAGTTCTCACTTGCAATGTAATACGTTCTGAAGAGAGATGACATTTTCATCTGGAGTCAGCTATTTGGCTAATATGAGAAGTAAGTGGGTAAAGAGTTACATCAAAAACACATAAAGCTTAATAGGCAAAACTCTTACGGAGCCATTATGACATGTCAGTGAATTACTTTGTTTCTTAATTATTTCCAAAAAGAAACTCATTTTGTTTGTCTCAAAAAGTGAATGTTTTACAGCATAAATTGCAATGCTGTTACATAAAAGCATTACCATATTTCTATAAATATGACTGTTTTCAGGGATCATATTACTATTAACTAAGGTAGTATTATTATTCATCATGATACTTCCAGTGTGCTGGGACTGGTGATAAAGACTTTGCATACATTTACATTCATCTTTTTATCTAACAATGAACGTGTGTGTGTGTTAAGTCGCTCCAATCATGGGACTCTTTGCGACCCCACGGACTATGGCCCGCCAGGCTCCTCTGTCCATGGGATTCTCCAGGCAAGAGGACCAGAGTGGGTTGCCATGCCCTCCTCCAGGAGATCTTCCTGACCCAGGGATCAAATTCCCGTCTCTTATGTCTCCTGCATTGACCAACAGATTCTTTACCAATTGTGCCGCCTGGGAAGTGTGAATAACAATGAATGAGGTATCACAATTCTTTTTTCAAGAAGAGGAAACAGAGGTACATAGAAATTAACTTGTCTGGGATCATTCAAATAGTAAATAACAGAGATAGAATTCAAAATCTAGTCTGATTTCAAATCAAAGCTTTTTCTTCTATATCAGAGATTCATGTTTTGGCCAAAAGTCAAATACAGAAGATATGAAGAGTTTTAGTATACTTTAAATGATAAAAGGAATTCTAGATTGAGTAAAATATTTGAAAATTATTTAGCTCATATACAAAACATATCCATGCAAGAATACTTATTTATATTAGGAATAAAATTCCCAATGCTGTCTAAATATTA